TGCACACACACACACCCAACCCCTGCTACTGCAGCATGGTCCACAGACTCCTGCAAGGCAATAACTACAGGCAGTTGTAAGCCTTTTGCCTCGTTTGCTTCCCATCTCCCAGAAATCACTGTCCTTCATTCCCTGGTGTCCAGTGACTTGAAAATGGTTGTTTTACATATTCTATTATTTGTTGTTGTTTCAGAGGAATAGTCAGTCTCAAAGGGAGCCTCAAGAAATACCCAATAAAAAAATATTACTTTCACATATAAAAAAAATTTTAAATCCAACCAAAATGTACATGTCTGAAACATATATGTTTAACCATCTTCTGTGTTTTTCATTCCTTTCCATATGGTGTCAAAGGTTCTCCTCAACTTTCCTATAATGCTTTCCAGGGTAGAGGAAAACAATTATATCCCCAGTAAAACAGAGAGGTTCTATGGATCCTGATCACCTTTTTATGGTATATCAAAGCTATGTTTCTGTTGAATGATCTCTTGTTACCACTTAACAAAGAAAACTCAATGAGTTTAGGGAGGAACTTCTCACATCCCCAGGGATTACCTCAGAAATTCAAAGTCTGACCTCCCCCCCAACAAAGCCAGTTAATGTCAGCAACTTAAAAATACTGCTGCTGCCAAATTACCCGGAAGAAAAGGAGGAAACATTCTTTTTCCCCTAAATAAAACTTTCCCAAGTCAATTCACTAAGGCCTATCTTTAATTTACAATTTGGGAAGCTCTAAAGCGGACAAAAGAAAAAGTTACTGTCTATTTTGGGATCATATTCAAGGCTAGATGACATTTGTTAGTCTCCTAATGTTTATCTTTGTTTTTGGCAAAGTAATACACTGAAAAAAGTGCCTATTTTAGAAAAGGTAATTAGAGTATGTAATTTTTTTCAAAGGAGAAAAAACAGCATTAACACAAAAATTATGAATCTCTTCTGCTATAATCTTTTTATATACTATTCATGAGATTTCTTATGACCAAAGCAAAACAATTTTTTAATATTAGATTCTTGAATTTACCTTTACTGAACTACACAGCAAGATCAGATTACTGTACATTCACTTTGCACATTTTATCAATCTACTCAATAAAACCATATGAATTGCTGATATTTTATTCCTGTTTTACTTACTCAAAATGGAAATATCTATGATTCAGCCTAATAATGAAGAAGACATCTCTACCTCCATAATGTAAAGAACATTTTAGTATAAGTCAATTTCTGATACACCAAAATGCCTTAATTTTGTATCATTCCGATTCAATTAATATAGGTGGGAAATATCATGACAGTTAAGAACACAAAATTTGGGTGCTTGGGTGGCTGAGTTCTTTAAGCATCTTACTCTTGATTTCGGCTCAGGTTGTGATCTTGGGTTCATGAGATGGTAGCCCTGCATGGGTCTGCTGCTAGGAGTGGAGCCTGCTTAAGAATTTCTCTCTCCCTCTGCCCCTTTGCCGCCCACCAGACACCCCACCATGCTCTCTCTCTAAAAAATTAAAGTTTTTCTAAAAACACAAAATTTTGGTTTTTACTTCCTTCACTTTAAATTAGGTGATAAGTCTTTAGTGTTTCAGGCAGAATTCTCTTCCCTTCCCCCACCATTTACCCTTTTGCCACATATGCAAAACTCTGTTTATCAACTACCAGTGTATTTATTATGATTACAGGGCTGGAAGGAGAGTGGGGATTCCTTGCTAAACATCCTGCTCTCCTACTCTCTTCTCCCTGAGACAAAGTCTCTTTCCCATTTCCATTTACATCATGCTTTGTCTACTATTATTATCATTTCCGGAGTTTGTACAAGTTTGCTTCATTTGATCCACAGATCCAAAATACAACACCAAAGAAAATGCTTGCAACATCTGAGAAAATGCTTGCAACATCAAATTGGCATTAGAGTTTTACTCCGAATGGTTATATCTGAAAATACTTCCAGTAATATATTTATCAATTCTTCAAGTTGAGAAATAAGAGGTGATTTTCAATATGGTTAAGTAAAACAAAAACCCCCTCGGCATCCGGTATGGTATACTTGTGTTTTAAGAGGTCACAACATCTTTTCAAATGGTTTCAGTAAGAGGAACTAGAGACAAAGCAAAAGGGTACTAAGAATGTCTTCTTAATGAGGCTCTAACTTATATAAAGGACTCAACAGATGGGCAGGTAAAGACATTTTCTCTAAACTGGCTCCAGCATTGCTTTTACCAATTATATTTCAGGCTTTTACTCCTCTGACGCAGATGTCCATCTTTTGCATGTTTAATTGCTTCAGTCCTGTAATATATGGCATGTCCAGGACTCCCAATCAAATTATCCTTCTTTATCTAAGGAAACGGGGACTTTAAAATCAGACTAATCTGGGGCAATTGGGTGGCTCAGTCATTGGGTGTCTGCCTTTGGCTGGGGTCATGATCCCAGGGTCCTGGGATCAAGCCCCAAGTCAGTCTCCCTGCTCAGTGGGAAGCCTGCTTCTCCCTCTCCCACTCTCCCTGCTTGTGTTCTCTCTCTCTCTCTCTCTGTCAAATAAATAAATAAAATCTTTAAAATCAAAATAAAATAAAATCAGGCTAATTCTGTCTCTGCCATCAATATAAAGAATATAAAATTATTACAGAATTACCTATCTCTTAGGTGTTTTCTTTAAAGACCTACTAAATTATATCAGTGGTATTTCACAAAGTAAGATAAAACAAATTAATTACATCGATCACTTACACAGCAGATATTACAACATGATCAGAATCACATTGTCGGAATAGGTATTATTAAGTCCCTGAAGTCTATTATTTGAAAATCAGTACTTTTGAGATAAGAAACAAAGATACAGATGATGCTTAAACTGTTTTACAGGTTTTTTTTCCCTTTTTTAGAAATTTAAATTCAAGTTAGTTACTGTATAGGGTGGATGTTTACAGTTTTTACAGAACTTTAGCAACCCTTCATTGACCATAACAACACCTTTATAAGAGTAAATATTATTATTAATATTTTATATATATCAAATAATTGAGAGGTGATTTGGAACTGGAACTCCGGCCTTTTTATCCTTGTCCCAGGCTAGTCCATCTGGAATGGTCTAACATAAAATGCATTTATATGACATATTTTCATTAGAAACCATAGAATTATCAGTGACTCCTTTCTTTCAAATTATCTCTAATTCTCTTCTATTCCAACTCTGCAACATCTCACAGGTTTGTCCTGACTTTTCCGTAATACAGACTGAATTGAAGCCCTCTCATCCAGGATCACTGAGCCTCCTCCACAACCCTCCCCTCCTCTGAACCTCGCATTACAACATTGCCAGAGTGCCTTTCTAAAATGCAGTTCTAACAGTGTCACTCCAGTGCCTGAAAACATTTGGTGGCTTGCTACTGCCTACAGTGGTGGTTCTAAACTGTGCACTTAGAGATCGCTGTAATTCTGAGAACTGGACAAAGGTGTTTAGAGCTGCTAAAATAAGCAACGTCAATCAGCTTAATTTGCCAGAACACAAAAATTAAGGGACAGAGCTGCATTTGGTTTTTGCCCTAGTTTTTGTTCTGTGTATCTTTTTGCCTATATACTGTTCGCCTACTGGACACAATAAATAACAAAAAATCAAAATAACAAAACAATGCAAACGAAGATTAATTCTGAGTCAACTCTACCTCATTCAAAATGAAAAAATAGCAGGGGTTATTTTCACCCCTGTTGAGAGGTAGGGGGGAATATGTTCTTATGATTTAAATTTGATATTGTATAAATGTCATTTTTTCCTAATTCAATGATTCAAATGATAAGAACTAAATATATGCTTCCATGACCTAATAACAACTATAAATGTCTGTAAACTCTGCTTCTTGAACCCAAAACCACTTACACATACCTCTCTCTGAGGACTTTGGCAACTGAAATTCTGCACTCATAGTTCACTGATATACCCATCTCATTTTATTTTACTTTTTTATTAAACACCTGCTCCCGAATTAGTGAATTCACTGAGAACAGAAGCAACATGCTATTCATGTTTAACTCACAAGTGCCTGACACAGAGAAGTCACTCAGTAAATCCATGCTGGAAGAATCAGTGAATTCAATTTTAAAAGAGAGCAAGACTGCCAACTACGAGTTACAATTATGGACTTTTAGAAATTTCGAGTAAAGTCGGTAAATTTTCTGTTTCCAGTTTAATATATAACACATTATAAACATAAAATAAAACAGTTTTAGAACTATTTCACTTCGTGCTGCTTAAGTTCAATACAACAAAACTCCATTAAAAGCATGTCAATGTTGATTTTTAGGAAGTTTTTAAAAAACATACAGGACTCACAACCATCAAGTTAAATTAAGGATCCAGTCAATCCTACAAAATTAAATTAAAATTGTAAAGAATTTTTAACTCTATGACCATAAACTGGATAATAAATATTAAATTGTCTTTCCATGCCTCCCCTACAAAATAAGCTGTTTCTACCTCAATGTACATGTTCTCAAGTGAAGAAAGAATGTGGATCAATTTCTATAAATGTCAGGGCTTAGATATAAAAGTAAACAAACAAATAAATACCCAATGGAGTTGCAATCATTACTTCACTGTTCCCAGTAAAATCTACAGAAAGAAAACCTGGCTGATACTTTTCACAGTGAAACATGCTTTTTTTTTTTTTTCATGTCAGAAACAGATACCAAGTTTTATGAAGTTTATTATATCCTAGTATCCTCCTTTAAAAAAAAAAACTTTCGAGACTACCAGATATATCCCCATGAACTTATATAACTGCAGGTGTACATCTCATGGCCATGTAACATGAACAACCAGAGGCATACTTAATGTGTACTAAGGCTTACGGTTTACATTTATATTAAATATCTTACTTGCCTCAATCTGATTTTTATGGCCTATGGTCTGTGGACCTGTGGTAAAATGCATGAATGCATTAAAAGTCAGCATTTTAAGATGAAATCTCAAAACACTGAACGGTAGGTAAAAAACAATGGGAACTACTTACGGCCAGCAAGCAGGAACTGATAATACTGGACTGCATCTGCAGCGAGGAGCAGAGGGTGGTTTGCATTAAATGGTGGTTGCAATTCATTCCATTGAGGAGTTCTAAGGAAACAGCAGAAGAATATTAATATTTAAGGTTAATAGATGGGATGTAAATCACATCACTGTCACCACTTATAGACATTGATATAAACTCACACTATCTTTGTAATCATTAAAGTGAACTTGTTGGGAGTGCTGAAACCTAAAATACAAGGCCATCTGCTTAAAAAGAATAAAAAAGGTGGTGGTGACTCATACAATTACATAGAGCTGATATTGGTTTAATAGCAGAAGACCTTCCAATAGGATAGACAAGACATTCAAAGCACTGGACAGAGAGGAAGCATATTATTCAATGTTCAAGATAAAGTAGCTCTAATTTTACCTAATTTCAGATAACTGCTGGAGCTCACTATTCTCAGAATATGTGTATATTTTTAAAATAAAATAAAGCAGGTAAAAGTGCTTTTAAAAAACCCACACAGTTAAATTAATGGCTGACTTATTACAGACCTAATTAGAATCTGAGTTCCAAAATAAGCCATTTATTTCAACAATGATGGTGCAGTAATTTTAATTAGATCTGCCTGTTCCTAAATAGCTTGATAAATAAGATATTGATCAGATCAATCTAGTCCAGTAAAGTAGTAGTAAAGAATGCTGGAGCCTTCAAAAATCAATATAAGAATATTTTAAAACGTCAAAAGGAGAAGGATCATTTTCATATCCATTTTTGTCTGTTTCCTTCCATACTTGTCAGGACAAATTTTTTTCTGTCTCTTCCATATCCTTATACACTGTGTTGAACAGGTTTTATTCTAGATTTTATTTCTCCCTTTTGACACTTGCTTATAAAGATTCTAATGATCATGTACTTTTGAGAAGGGCTCCGATTCTTAATAAACATTTCTACAGTGTTTAGCCACTATATCTTGGTGAAACCTTCCAATCTGTTTATATTCATTTCCAGTCCCCTTAACGGTTATTCCAATAAACTTTCTATTTTCAGTGAACATGAGACTGGAAATAGAGGAAGCACTAAAGCTCTATACGTGGAATAGAAAAAAAAAAAAAAACCCAAGTTCTGGAAAATGTAATACAAAGATGCAAGGACAAGGTAACTCTAAGGGGCAAACAAAGACAACTGAAAACATGATCACACAAAAATCTGTACATGAATGTTCTCAGCAGCATAATTCATGACAGCTAAAAAGTGGAAGTGTCATCTACTGATGGGTAAATGAGAAGAATAAACAAATGGACACAAAACGTGGCATATCCATGCAGTGGGCTATTCTTTGGTCATAAAAAGGAATCAAGCTCTGATGCATGTTATAACATGGATGGACCTTGAAAACATTATGCTAACTGAAGAAAATCAGATGAAAAAGGTCACATGTTGTATGATTCCATTTATATGTAATGTCCATAGTAGGCAGATCCAAAGAGACAGAAAGCAAATTGGCTGAAGGGTTTGGTGAAAATGGAGAGAGACTGCTAATGGGTATAGGGTTTCTTTCGGGGGTGATGAAAATTGACTGTGGTGATGGGTGTACAACCTACTGAAAATTCACTTTAGAAGGGTGAACTGTATTATATATAAATTATAAATCAAAAAAGGAATCACTGATAAATGCAACAATAGGGATTGATCAAAATAATTTTGCCGGGTGGAAAGAAGCAAGACAAAAAAAAAAAGAGCACACACACTATGATTCCATTTATATAAAATTCTAGAAACTATAAACTAATCTCTGATGATAGAAAGCAGTGGTTGCCTGGGGCTCAGTGGGTGAGGTAGGGATGAAGAGGGGCAAGAGGGAGAGACTGCAAAGAGGCACAAGAAAACATCTGGGGGTGATGGACATACTTATAATGTTGATCACAGTGATGGTTTCACAGCTGTATACATATATCAAATTTGATCAGATTGTACATTTTCAATATTTTATACCTCAATAAAGCTGCTAAAGACAATGGAAAGAGGTCCTACCTAACCAGGGTCCAGCTGGCTCGAGGTGAGGTCATCACTTCCAGTGGGGTGTCATCACTAATCTTGGGGGCAGTGCTGAGCGGCCGTGGCTCCATCATGTGCTCCACTAAGGTCCCATAGCAGCTAATGATGTAGAGAGACTCAACTACAACTTGTTTGGACTGATCTACAAACAGAAAAACAAATCCTCGTTGTGCAATAATGGCATAATAGGAGCACAGTGCAATTTTTACAAGTTATTGACCTTTCCATCCATTTTTGACGCTGTTGAGAGAAAATATGGCAGGAAATGTTTTATGTGGTGCCTGCTCCCTGCCTAAAGGTTGCTTCTTAGAAGTGAATGCTAATGAGTATGAGAATCAAAATATTTTTAAATCTTAAGCAATTTATTTCAAAAATGATGAAAAGATTCCCCAAATTCTAATACAATGAAACATTTCACAGCCTTTTGCATTTTTCTGCCATGTAATTTATTCCCCATTATAAAAAATGAATGATAGCAGGTGGGATAGGGACGGACTGACTGGAAAGGAACAACATATGGACAAAAAAGTAGTTATGCAGGATGTACCAATTCAACTGCATGAGAGGCTCTCTGCATGCCTAAATCAGCCTAACTTCTCTGCTTTCTCTCAGAACACTTTATTTTTTTAAAAGACTGATTTGTTTATTGGACAGGGAAGGACCAGAAGGAGAGGTAAGGAGAGACTCTCCAGCAGACTCCCCCCCCACCCCCTCCGCCGCTGAGCAAGGATTCTTGACACAGGGCTCCATCTCATGACCCTGAGATTATGACCTGAGCCAAAATCAGGAGTCAGACACTTAACCAACTGAGCCACCCAGGCATCACAAACTTTATTTCTAAAATCTGGATTAAAACAAATAAATGAAAAACATGCACATCCTCCCTCCGCCAAATCTTCTTCTTTCCTCTCCATGGGATCACTGGCCTCTACGGTAAAGGAAGACCACTCATACTTTAAGGTCAGGTGCTGAATATGGTTCTAATCAAATGACTTTATAAGAAGTACACATGTCCTCACTACAAAAACAGGTTTAGTCCTCTATCTTGGGTCTTACAGTAAACCTAGGAGCATATAAAATGACTCATGAATACTGGGTGGGTCACCTTATCTCCATGCCAGAGGAATCAATTACAGCTGATTTGAGAAAATGGCTAATGACCAGTCAGTGGGACATAAAGGAGTAGTAAGTTAAAAGGGTAATTAGAACAGAAGGGAGAAGCATTTGAAATTGAGCTTCACAGAGGGTTTTAACTAGTAACAAAAAGTCATTTTGATAGCATCATTAAAACTAAGGAGGTAACAAAAAAATAGAGATGGGATAAGAAAATGGAAGGCTTGCATACTTTACTGTATCCTCTCCCACTTAGGCAAGGAACCTGCTGTGCCTGAGATCGTATTTCCAAGGAAAGGGTCACAGAAAGGCGATAACAAGGGAGAGGGCTGATGTCTGACTGCCAGTACTGAGCGTAAAGCAGGGCCATTTTGCCAAGAACAATACAGCCTGTGGAGCTGGGCAGAGAAGAGCCTTGCTAACAACTCAGTTTGTGACCTACTTTAATAGTGCTGAAATAATAAGGGCACAATCTTAACATTCAAAATTAAATACCTGGTCCATGAATGCAGGCACTCCTCTACACACAAACAATAAGGAGTAACATACTAAAGCAGTAATTATACAAAAATTTTAGGTATTGGTCTTGGCGAATGAAGCAGGGATTAAAAAAACACAACTCTATAAACTCAAAGGAGCAATGGTTACCATAAAAGATGATTCTTAGGGGTGCCTGGGTGGCTCAGTGGGTTGACTGTCTGACCCTTGATTTCAGCTTAGGTTGTGACCTCAGTGTCATGGGACTGATCGCCATGTCAGGCTCTATGCTCAGTGTGGAGTCTGCTTGAGATTCTCTCTTTTCCTCTCCCTCTGCCTCTCCCCTCGCTTTCACACGTGCTCTCTCTCAAATAAATAAATAAATCTTTTTTAAAAATGACTCATTTATGAGCAGGAGCCTGTTTTTATCTTTTAACTTATAACATGGCAAAGTTGTTGGTGGTGGTTTTTTGTTTGTTCCTTAACGTCAGGACAGAGCTTTAGAAAACCCGGATTCAAACTCGGATGCCATCACTTCCTAACTAGTGCTTTCAGCTAAGATATTCAAACTCGTTGGACTCGAGCTCCTTGTCTCTAAAACAGGGATAACACCTTAGAGGCAACGGCATGGAATTTGCTTGTCACAAATGTAAGTATAAAATAATGGAAAAATGCAGATTGGAATGGAATTAACAATGTTGAGGACACTGGTAGACTGTCATCAACAAAGCAAAATACATTCGGATGGGCAATTAATTTCACATTTATAGTGAGAGGATAGCCTTTGTCCTTAATGAGGCTTGACTAGTTGAGGAGAAACATGCTAACTGAATAGAAAAATGGATTCAGAGAATACTGGGTTCAAGATTATTCTAGAAGAACTACTATGAATTTCCCTCAAGAAACAAAAATTATAAGTGCAAGTTTAAGCTTCATTAAACTCCATACCTTTTTCTCTTTTCAGACCTGCATTATTTGCAAACCACGATCTGGATGTCCCAAACATTGCAGCCACACAAAATTCTCCGCCCATTGATTTGCTGGGTGAAATTTGTGGAGGTGGTTTAACTTTGCTTAAAAAATAAAATGATAGTAAAAAACAATTAACCATGATGGAATCACAGACCTCAAAACAGTAACATTATTTTCTTTAAAATTCCACCCCTGAGAATTCAAACCCTCCAATGTGGACATGCATTTTGCCTTAAGTAATAACTGCTGCTGTGAAACTATATTCTGCAGTAGAAGTACAATTAGTGCAGAATTCTGGAATATTATCACAATAGTAACATATAAAAACAATAAAAATTAACCCCTTTTTGAAGTATGTGTTGGTGAAATCCAAGTCCCTTCTTTTCAGATGGATAACATTTCCTTGAAGATTTTAAAGTGGAAAAATGGAACCAGTGTAAGTATTTCACAATAATAAAATCATTTATCATTTCATTTTGATATATAAGATGTGAGACTGACAGGACAATTGAATGGAGATGGCATGTATGAAAATAATGAGATGATACAGAATGAAACCCCGCAAATGGTTCAGCCACAATGCTACATACAGTTAGACAATGTAGGGGGAGAAGCTCGAATGTTCTAACGCAATCATATCCACTAATTAAACTATTTGTTTAGTTTTTCTTCAAGGCTTTGTGAAAACAATGTGTGTTTCTGCTCTGTTCTTCACACGTTTGAGGACGCCCTAAGTCACTGATGTAACTACCATAAAAAAGTACTTGCTTTCCTCTTTGTTTTCTCCAAATTAGCTTTTATACCATCACTTCTAATATCAACCTTTCATCTTCTATGAAATTCTAGTATTTCTCTTCTGATTTGGCAAAGGCCTCCTCAAAGCTCACTGGCAATTCTGCTGACCACTTCAGATAAATGGTGGTCAGACTTTCTCTAATTCACACACCAGAAAATAGCCTCACTGCATACTGGTCAAGATCACAGTCCAGTCTGGACACCAGAGCTCTGATGTTCCTACACTGCTACTCAGTCTCCAGTGTCAAATAACATCATTTCTACCTTCTTTTGTTCACTGTCCTTTATCTCTTTATCTTTTAGTAAAGTATGATTAGGTGGAGAAAGATTGGGTTTGGGAGCCAGGAAGAAACCTGAATGCTGCCACTTCTTAGCTGTGTGACTTTGGTTGAGTTATTTAACTTCTCAGGGCTCAGATGGCTAATATGTAAAATAAAAATAGTAACGCCTATTTCATGGGGTTATTTTAAGCATTATTTGTTATTTATTTCTGTTATATTTCTTATTATTTGTTCTTTGTTCTCTAAGTGGGCTCCCTGGCTAGAAGTACCATCCGAGTACTTCTTAGATATACAAATATTCATCAAGCCACACTCCAAACTCTGGGGGTAGGGCCTAATCATCTGTGCTTTTAGTTTCAGTAATTTTTTTTTTTTTAACAAGACCTCTAAGAAATTCTGAAGCATGCTCAGGTTTAAAAACCACTGTATTAGGGCAAGTGCGTAAGGGAATCACGGCAGTGCCTTCCCGTATGATGGTACTCAACAGGGTTAACGGTCTTCTACACGGCATACCACCTTCACCTAATTTTCCAAAACATCAAACTGTGCTTTGGTAATCTCAGTTTCCAGGTCCCTATGACACCTGAAATAGTTTTCCACGTATTTTATTTCCCCAGCCTTCTGCTCTGACATCTTCCTCCTACAGAAAGCAAAAACTTTGGGTCAGAGTCCACTCTGATTGGTCTTTTTGGCTCTCCCTTTATGCCAAATCTATGGTAATGCCCTTGCCATATATGCAAAGGCCTCTTCTTTCCATCATTAACATTTCTTAATCACTTCATATCATTACCCATAAAAACCACACCCCAGCCTAACCTACCAAGACCAGTCACAGTCAGACTTCCAGTGACAGGGAATTAAGAGACATGGTTTTTAAAAAAAAATTTTTTGACGAAATGAATCTGGTTCTAGAAAGTTTCACATCTTCCTGGTTTCATCTACCACAACTACAATAACCTACCAGTAGAAAAGAAGACTCCCACACCTTGACCCCACCTACCCCAGAACAAACACACACCTTTCCTAGGTATCAGGGTAACCGCCATCAAATTACACTTTCCAGTTATGATGCTCATTGCTGTAATAACTTGGAGTGTAAATTTTCCTTCAAAGCCTTTATTTCCATCACTGAACTGCTATCACTAAGCCAATAAGTTCCTATAACTAGCATCTTTTAGTTCCTTTGGCCATTTTTAACCCTTAGGAGTTTGGGGAGGTTGGAGAGAGAAGGAGAAAAAAAGCCATTCCAGAATTTACTGAAAGGTGTTTCCAATTACATAACTATATGTTTTTACTAGAATCACCATCAGGGAACAATAATACTACAATGTACAAATAAGCTTCACAGGGACAAATTCAAAGCTCTTTGGAAATTACTGAATGCTATTTTTGTTTTTGTTTTTTTAAGACATGTGGTAAGCAATGAGAGAGAAAACAAGTGGGTGTGACACTTCTTAAGAGAGACTATGGCACATATAAAGTATGCCTCCTAAACAGAACTGAAAAACGGTTGCTATTAGGCAAGACTGTTACCTTGATAACACAGTAATAAAGAGTAGAAATATGATAAGATAACAATTTATTCTTTGGCCATGCAAAAATCTATTCTGTATGTGTTTATTAGCTTCCAGTCTAATCAATTGATGTCAAAAGCTAAAACCTCTTATACTTCCATAACACAACACACAACTCAGCTTTTGAACACACAACTAAAAAGCATCAACATGGTATTATTTTACACAAACTCATTATCTCCTGCAGGGAATAAGTATTTTATGATAAAGGTATGCTTAAAATTATGTAAAGAATGATCATTTTCATTTTTATACACTATTTCTTCTTTTTCCTCTGATGGGGCCTTAATAAATCACATTAGCAAAAGTCTGTGTTTAGTGAGTGATTAAAACAGTTTTCATCCCTGGAGTACCAGGGTGGCTCAGTCGGTTAAGCATTCTACTCTTGATTTTGGCTCACATCATGATCTCAGGGTTATGAGATCAAGCCCCACATCAGCTCTGCACTGGGTGTGGAGCCTGCCTGGGATTCTCAATCTCTCTCTCTCTCTCTCTCTCTGCCCCTTCCAAAAGAGTTTTCATCCCTGAGAATAACTTGCTATTCTCCTCCGTGGTGTAGTGCTGTCTAGTGGGGAGGAAGCATATCTGGTGAACATATTCATAGCAAGTCATTTCTACCATCAAACTACATTTGGGATGACTGTGGTATTTAACAAAACAGAATATAAAGATATGTGTCTAGAAGACTTTCAGAAAAACTAAAAGGAGAAATAATATAAAGAAAAGATTATCACTAATTAAGTATTTCTACCCAAGGGAAGAAAAATTTCACTTTGACTCACTTTGCCCTTTATCCTAAGTTTTAAAAGGACTAACAAGGAATTTGGAATGGAGGCAGAACTGAACTTTTCCAAAATAACCCAGAGTATTTCTAATGCAAAAAAACCTTTTGTTGGCAGAAAAATAAAACACTGAAAAATGATACATATGTGAAAGGAACAAAAGATAAAAGTACTAGCTTTGTAAATCATGTTCACTTCTATTCTGGTGACCCAATCATTTTAGAAAAGCATTCCAATACCACCTTTTTTTCTACCTTCCTCTCAACATCTCCCTTTATCCTCCAAAAGGGGCTTAATAAATCCCATTACAAAACATTTGCAAGTTTTAAAAGAAGACCTGTGAGTGTTTGGAGGCCTTCCCACATTTATTTATTAATTTATTAAATAGACTGATATAAAAAAATAAAATTTCAATGTATATGGCACCCAGAAATTTAATTGTGTTGATCATGGTTTTAAAGAAAAACAAAATAAACCGATGGAGCTCATGGACTCCTCTGAGAACTCCTGCTCCTTACTCCCCTGAGTCCATCATAAATAGCCTCATGTTCAAAAATGAAAAGTAAAATTTGTCTTAATTTGTGAGCAGTGTATGAAAGAAAAATGGAATGAATTCAACTTTCATTACTATTTTTAACTTCCATTTATTATTTTTGCCCTACCGGGCAAAATAATGATCATAAAAATATCATATTTACTAAACTCGATACAAGAGAACAACATAATAAAAAGTAAAACAAAGAAAACAAAACAAATAAGGTACTAAATTAAAACTCAGGAGTTTCACTCTTTTTCACTTCTATTGGGAGACTTAACCACCTAACTATAGCATGAGAATCATTTTCACTGCTATCGTAAGTTCTGGGGCTATTAACATTATGACGTCTTTCAAAATACTTACAAAGACTACTGAAGTTACCCCATTGGCTTTTACTGTATTATGTAATCCAGTCAGATTAACATATCAAATTTCTCTAGCCTCTTTTTCTCTCTACATCCTACTGCAAAGAGAAAAAAGCAAAACTCTAATAATATCTGCTTTAAAATTACAGAAAAATTATGTCTGTCTGGGTAAATCTACTACATCCCATAGAATAGGACGTAAGAGGGGTATCTGCACATGGCATGAAAAGCAGCAATGAGGTCCACTGCCTTGTTAAAGGACAAAACATGGAAAGAGTTAAATTGGGATAGAAGCACTGTTTCTTTCCTTTTCCACTTTAAATGTTAATACAATATTGCTGTAAGAATTACAAGTGGCATGTAAGAAAAAAAAACTTATCTTTATATTCCTCACTGTGATTGAGCTTTCAAAAAGAATTTAGAAGTTTTTTTTCACTCTCAACTTTATTTTTCTAAGAGAAGAACTAAGAGAGAAACAAAGTATTTTATTTTAAATAAAGATATTAATAATATACCTAAAATTATTCTATCACAAATTATTCTTAAAGATCTAACAGATTTATGTAAACTTAAGAAGATTCTCCTCTTTATATAAAACTTTTCTTTCAAAAATGAATTTATAATATTTTAAATATCCTCAAAAGAACAAGATTAGTTTAAATGAACCATTTACATATATATAAACTGAATGGTCTCAGCACTAATTAAAACTTTAAATATAATTTGATATGTAAGTTTTAATCCTTCTTTAAATTAACCTGATATAACACAAGCCCAGGTTATGAGTATGGGATATATTCAAATGGGCTACTTTCATCTACACTATTATGTATATATTTTTTCTTTTGATAAGCAACTAAAAAATAACAGCAGTTTAAACATAATACTACATGTACACTGGGAGCTCAATAAATACTTATTACTTAATTGTAATATTGAGAGCAAAATTCATTTTAAAAAATTCACAATGGCTATTTCTCTTAAAATTTCTATATTAAAAATATGTTATATGTGTGATTCTTTTATAATATTTTACATTATATTACAATATAAATTATATTATATATAATTATTATATAAATTATATTATTATCATATAAAATATTATACAATATTTTACAGTCATTCGGACTCAAATATCCTGGAGGATGCATAATCCCCAGAGTTCACAAAATGGCTAAAATGTTGAAGACGGTCTGTACAACTTTCCAACAAGCTTATTTTGTTATCAAAAGGGCAGACATTATTTTAAACTGACTCACTGCAACTGCATGAATTTAAACAAACCAGTTTATCAAAGAATAGAGAATTAGTAGAAATTGTGATCTACCAAAAGCAAAATCTTAGCTAAATACAAAGGTTGCTACTTGAAAGTATTTTAAAAAATTGCACAAAATGTCCATTCCATTTTAAGAGGAACTATACAAATTTCATATTCTTCTAAAATACAAATATCACACTGCAACTGGAAATACTATAAACATATTTATTTGGCATAATGTTTTATTTCATAATGGTAAATAAAAACATTCTCAGGTTGAATGCTAAATATCAAGGAAAAATAGCAAAGACTATTAAAACAAAGAAACTCTTATAAACAAGCTAGGAGAAGTTGTCAAATTTATATTCATTTTGCTGCCTTAATTTGAGGTTTCATTAAGATCTTAATGGGAAAAACATGCACCACTAGTAAAGGAACGTATTTTAAAGGAGGATCTTTTAGGCTAGGATAAGTGACTAAAAACGAGTTTCTTGTGAGCTAACGATGGCATCAAACAGACCACAGAGCAGTCTTCTAAGGGACAGGCAATGATTTAAAAGTCTACTATATTTCATATATCCCTTTCTTTAATCTGGCTCTTTTAATCTTGTTTCAACCTCAAATCATTTCTGGTTGACAAGTGCTTTTGCTTAAATTTGAGGAGGACATAAGCTGTTGAAGGAATGGAGTTTTCTGATTTCACATACAACATTAGTTACTCCGTCTTTACTTCTATGCTAAAACTTCAATCTCTATTAACATACTAAATCTTTTTCTTTGTACTTAGAGAATAAGAAATTTATCCTAAGATGGAATCTAATTCTAAGTTTGGTCTACAAAGAAATTTTGTCCTATGTTGAATCTGGCATTTAAAAACTGCTCATCCAAGCTTCTAAATAAGATCCATGTATCTTGTTTGTTTGGGGAAGAAATCTGGTTAACAAAAAGAATAAAGATTGACTTGTATGGATTTTTTACTCATTTATACACTGAATTTCTTTAGAATAGTTTCACGATCTGTGTCCTAATTTTGAGGCTGCATTTCAAGGAGGTTTTTATGATTTGTCGCCTGTTCTTATATGATAATGAAATTTTCATATATTCCTGTGGCAGATGACTACTGAAATTAGTTTGCATCAAATTATAGTGTACCTTCAAGAACTATTTCAGATTCCCTTTGTCCAGGAGAAAAATAGCTGAGGGGCTTTTTCCTGGGATAATAGGACAGTATGAACAATTCCCAGTAGCAGTTATGAGAACTACACACACACATGTGCAGAACTCTTTTAAGTATCCTGTCTACATATATAAAATTGATATACTTTACATTGCCCCAAACTTCCTTTTGGCTCATTTAACTCTTAAAAGTGAAAAAACAAAAACAAAAACATATGATCAAATTTTAAAAAGCTTCTTCTCAAAAATGGTATTTTTCCCTAAAACAAGAAATAGCAGCAGAGGCATCTAACATTTACTGAGCTCTTACTATGTGCCAGGCACTGTTCTAAGCACTTTATATTGTCAGTTCATTTCATCCTCATGATGAACACATGCCGTAGATGCTACTGGTAACTCCTTAACAGATAAGGAAACCAAGAAACAGAAAGGGTTTAGAAAATTATACAAGATCATATAGGGAGGGAGTGTGTGAAATGGGGTTTAAGACCTTGATGGTCTGATTCTGGAGCCCTGACTCTTAGCCATATGTTAAACATATGAGCTCCTAAGTATTCTACTTTGCATCTTTATGTAATGACCATAATATCTAAGACTGATAAAATTGTAGTTTATGCAATGTAATATAAGAACTTATTAAATAAATAAGTTACAGTGAGTAGGTGCCAATAACTCAAAATAATAAATCATTTAGGAGCTTTTATGTGAATCACAAATTTCCTTATTATGTGGATCCTTAAATACCTAAACTTCTAAATAAAGAAAGAACAGAAAAGAACGTCAAAACAGAACTAACTCTATTCCTCTGGTACCAAATAAAATGCAATAATATTTATAGGGTATTTTTAGTAGACCTTAAATATATTTATATTTCAAAATAAATCATATCTTTGAATGTTCAGCACAATGTGTAGGGAGCTTCTCTATCATACTCAAAGCTTTAAACTTGGGTGTTAGCCTTGTCTTCTAACATATGCTAGCATTATGAGAGGATCCTTCTAATTTCTTATTTTTAAATATTAATCTGTGATTTTTTTAATAGACCCTTCAAGAAATGAAGTGAAACCAAAAAGCCTGCTCTTGTAAAGCTTAAATATCAACATTCATGTCCCATTCTACAAATTATTCAGTAATTTGGTGCATCTATCTGTGATCAGGCCATGCAACTGAAAACAAAAGTACAAAACAGAGTTACTTTCTGAGAGTACAGCAAATGAATTAGGCATGCGGGACTGAACTGGGACTCACCATGGAGCTTTTATGGAAAAACACCCCGCTCCAAACAGATAAGGCCTTCATGGAAAAGGGGGGAAAATGCACAAAAAATTAGAGGAAAACTCATTTCACATTAACAAATACATGTATATCATGCGGTTATAGAGTATGGATAAAGTAACTGGAAAAATTAGTAATCATTTGCTACTCTGCTGCAGATACTAATGAGTCTGATATAACCAATAAACAGACTGACGTGAAATAACAAGTCCCTTAATTTTCATAGGATTAGCGATTTCAAAATGGTCTCTTTCTCCCCCTTTTCTGGAGTACCCCTGTAGGGTTTCTAAAGTAAAATAAAATAAACTTCATTTTAGAGGCACTTAAAAAAAAGTACAGGTTAAATGGAATAATCAGATGGAGAAAGGGGTGGGATCAGTAGCAACAGATGTGTGGTTGTAGAACACAAAATGTTTAAAATCAGCTAGACAGAATGCAATAAAAAATTTGATAAGCATTATTCACTCTTCACTGGTTGCAGCCTCAGGGCCACAGACAGAAAGCATGTCTTTTCCAAGCTACTCATTTAAAGTACATTGAACTGGGTATTGCTGGCCAAAGGAACAAACACCAAATAAAAGTAGTATGATTTATTTCCATGTAGGGTCACATTCCAGAAAATCAGCATTTCTCTTAATAGTGATAGAGGCTGGCATCTTCCACCTGGCCTGCTTTGGGCTAGGTTGGAATACCAGAAATGACAGCCACAATTGCTTATTTTAAGCAAAGTCAGACTTCATGGTTACATGTATTTCTTACTAATATTCTGTTCACAGCCATTTCAGGCATGCTATGCATATTAGCATACAAAGAAGATGGGCCGATTTAATTATATACAAAGTTAAATGTTGCTATAGCATCTGACATGTGGAAGTGAGACACGGATTGAGAAGGAAAGCACACTGGCAAAACCTGGATATTTTCTTCTTCAACTTTGGGGCCAAAAACACCTCAAAAATAAAAATTCCTGCTAATTGATTAGCATTCATCTGCCAGTGGATTGAGTTTCACAAACGGAAACTTAGGGTAAAAGGTTTTCACAACACTGAGCACAATTCTGAGGACTGATGCACAGAAGAAATAAAGGAGGGAACAGAGAGGGAAGAGATACTAATTAGAGAAGAGTGAGCTGGAAGAATTGAGAAATTGAAGAAAAAAGCAAAGAAACCTCAAAAATCGTGTCAATGCAAAGCAAGGAAATCTCTCTTATAATTAATATGACCACAACCAAAGATAGGATGTTGTTATTCACGCTAAACAGAGGATGTTCAAATTTTCTTAATCATGACCTGTAGAAATACATTTTAAGGTGCAAGCTGGTGTATACATGAATACACATAAATTGAAACAATAATTTAATGAAGGTGGTTTTTTTTCTGTCATCAACCTTACTCTTTTCTATTTCAATGTATTATAAACATTAATGCTGGGATTTTGTTACAATGAAGATCATACGTATTCTGGCGAGGTAGGTCTGAGTGGGGCCTGAGATTCCATATTTCTAACAAGCTCCTAGCTCATGTCAAAGCTGCTTGTTTGCAGAAACAACAGCAAAACTGCATTTTATTTTATTCTATTTCATTAATGACAAAAAAGTTAGTTACAATCACCTTATCTGACTTCATGATTCACAAATTATATTGGAAACAAAGTGTTACTGGAGCTCACAATGCACTCTGATGAACCCTAATTTAAATAACTGAGACCACGCGAAGACTCCAAAGTCAATAACATGGTAACTCCGTGCAGAAGGGATCAGAAAATGGAAGCTCCCATACGTTTCAATATGCCCACAAATGCTTCCAAAATGAAGAGGTTACTGTCACCATACAGTACCCAACTTCCTTTAAGTTTCTTCATTAGGCAGGGCACACGATACAGTCCAATAGTTCAAATGATTCTGACACGGGAGCTGACCATCTGGAACATCTAGACATGAGTGGCTCTTCAGTGTATGTTATGTCAACACTGAGCAGTCTGCAATCTCATTCTGAATACCAGACTACAGCTAATTTGTTGTAAAACATTTGAAAGTTTTATCTTCATCCTTTATGCCTTAAAAGGCTTCTCTACTGACCCCCCAAAACCAACTAAATAAAAATGAAACAAAACCTTCAAGTTTCTACATTTCAAAAGGCCAGCTGATATTCCCTACCTATAGAACCAGTAAATACCCTTTTTCTGGGTTAAAGGTTTCCTTATGTATCAAAAGGAAACATGTATTTGCCAAACAAATTAAACACAAGCTTCAAAAAAAATCTCCTAGATTTTCCTTTCTAGGCAATGGCAGTGTATGTTATCAATGAAAGATTTCAACAGCCGTCTCCTTCCCCACAATCCTAAAATGCACAGTTAACTCTCCAGACACTGTAGTAAACAGGCCTGTACTAAGTAGCAGCCTCGTCAGATTTAAAGACAATAATATAGGTCTCACTGTTCACAACATAACCCAATTGTGGGAGTTAAAAGTAACCATTCTTCAATCAAATAAGGATCAACTGGCTAACACAGTTCAGGGAGAAAACAGAGAGCTGGGAGAAACTGAATGAGGACCCTCTCTAGTATACGCTTGGCATGTTCCCAATTTTCACTTACCCACTTCTTAGCCACCCCTGCAAACTGGACTTCTGCCACATACATGTAAAAGAAGAGCCACAAACTCCAAAGAATCAGAGTGGCTGACATAATTATGGACTTCGTACGAGTAGTGTCAGCTGTTCCTTTGAAATGTGCCTGCTTCATCTTTCCTCAGTAGCGAAAGAATGAAAATATAAAGTCACAAAGGACAGGCCCATGATCCAGCTGTCTTCACCTATGACTTCCCCTCCCCCTTTAAAATCCCACAGTTGTAGTTTTACATGAGGATAGTTAGGAGGAGGATGACAGTATATGAGTGGGAGTGTAGGCTGAATTAAAATGGTCTGTATTAACATATTCAACTCCAATTATGATGTTCAGATATCAAGAATTTCTGTGTTTTTCTAAATACTATTAAGTTTCAGCCAGTTTAACAAGCCTGCCATACAAAACCTATTCGCTCTGCCACAATTATATCCTTTTTGAGCTGAATTCTGATTGAAAAACAACAGGACTGGCCAAGAGATTAAAAATCCAGAAATATTTTTTATAGACTTATTTATAGTACAACGTGAAACTACTTGACCATTAGTTCTCAACAGGTTTCTTCTGGAGATTCTCAGAAGATAAGAAGGAATTATGCTTCATATCATAACAGTAATGCCATGTAAGTTTTTAAATGCTGATTCATTTTGTTGAATGCCACATAATACCACAAAAGCTTTGTTTTTACTAGCTGAAAGGAAGGCAAACATGAAGATTTTTTTTAAATGCAAGGGAAAAGTAAAACTAGATTTGATTTTGAATGTGCTAAAGTCTTCTATAACTCGAACTTAGTGGTAAAAGGTATAAATGATAAGGTTCAATCATCTTTAGAGTTAAAAAAACCTAGCTGGAGTCAAAGAGAAAAATTCTATGAACTTACTCTGAAAGTTCTATTTTTTTAACTGATCATTTCTAATGAGAATTCAGACATTATCATTTAACAGACATCAGAATGAGCCTATACTTACTATGAACAACTATATAACAACAAACTGGACAATCTAGCTGAAAAGGAAAAAATTCTTAGAAACACAACTTACCAAGACTGAATAACAAACAAATAGAATATCTAAATAGACCAATTATTAGTAAGATTGAATCAGTAATCAAAAATCTCCCACTGAAGAAAAACGAAGGATCAGATAGCTTCACTGTAAAAATTTAACCAAACTTTTGAAGAACTGACACCAATCCTTAAACTCTTCCAAAAATTCTTGGGGCGCCTGGGTGGCTCAGTCATTAAACATCTGCCTTCGGCTCAGTTTATGATCCCAGGATCCTGGGATCCAGCCCTGCATTGGGTTCCCTACTTGGCAAGAAACCTGCTTCTTCCTCTCCCTCTCCCCCTGCTTGTGTTCCCTCTCTCCTTGTGTCTCTGTCAAATAAATGAAAAAAAAAATCTTAAAAAACAAACAAACAAACAAACAAACAAACTCTTCCAAAAAAATCTGAGGCTAGAACACTCCCAAACTCATTTTGTGAGGCTAGCATAGTCCTGATACCAAAACCAGAAAATGACACCACTAGAAAAGAAAACTACAGGCCAATATCCCTAATGAGTATAAGATGGAAAAATTCTCAGGAAAGCACTAGCAAACCAAAGTCAGTAGCACATTAGAAAGGATCACTCACAATGATTAAGTGAGATTCATCCTGGGGATGCAAGGATGGCTCAACATAACACAAAGCAATCAGTTTGAAACATTACATTAGTAAAATGAAAAAAAATCATCTGATAATCTGACACAGGAGAAGGATTTGATAAAATTCAACATCTATTCATGATTAAAAACTCCTAAGAAATTAGGCATATAAGGAATGTATCTCAACACACTAAAGACAAGCACATCATACTCAATGGTGAAAGGCTGAAAGTTTTTCCTCTAAGATCAGGAATAGGACAATGGCACCCACTCTTACCACTCTTTTTCAATATAGTACAGGAAGTCCTAGCTAGAGCAATCAGGGAAGAAAAAGAAATAAAAAGTATCAGAGTTGGAAAGAAAAGAAGTAAACCATCTCTGTTTGTAAATGACATAACTTTATTTATAGAAAATCCTAAAGACTCAACCAAATAACTGTTAGATCTAAACAACGAATTCAGTAAAGTTGCAGGTTATAAAATTAGCATACAAAAATCAGTAGTGTTTCTACACATTAAGAACAAATTTTCTGGAAAAGAAACAAGTGAATCAATCCCATTTACAATAGCATCAAAAATAACAAAACACTTAGGAATAAATATAACTAACAAGATGGAAGATCTCTACTCTGAAAACTACAAGACACTGATCAATGAACTCAAAGAAGTATACAAATAAATGGAAAGGGATCCTGTGGTCATGGATTACAAGAATTAATGTTAAAATGTCAATACTGGGGCACCTGGGTGGCTC